CTAAAAGATGTCCTTTTGAATTATTACCATGATTTTAAAAATATCCTTTGTTGCGATTTTGATTATTGGGAAATTCTGATTAATTTTTGTCTTTTTAGTAATTATCTTTACAATGGAAGGGATATCTTTCTTCAAATTAATGGAATACCACAGGGATCTAATTATTCATCTCTCTTAGCTAACTTATTTTTGCATTATTATGAAAAAAATTATACTCTTAGTATTAAATTTGTTTTTAGATATATTGATGACTTAATTTTCAAGATTTTACTATTTTATTAAATGATATTTATCCTGAGAAATTAATCTTGCTTCGTAATCATGATGATAATATTAATTTCAATTTTTTGGATTTGGGTATTATAAAAGTTGAAAATATATGCTTTGTTGATTTATACGATAAAAGAAATGATTTTAATTTTAATATTAATAGACTAATTACTTGGAATTCTAATGTTTCTAGGAATATCTATTTAAATACCACTTTTAATGAAATGAGCAGAATTAAAAGAATATGTAGTAATATTTATTTATCCAAAAAACAAATCGATAAACTCTTTCAAAATTTGATAAAAAACAATGAATACCCAACTAAAGTTATAAAATTTTATATAAAATTATTGAATTAATCGTATATTTTTGTGGATATACTTACTAATTTTTTTTTTGTTAATTTATATAATTTTCCCATGTGCAAATCCATTTCGGGTAAATCCGTTGCCAAAATTATTTACTAAATAATTCCTTTGTTAAATTGTATAATTTTTCCATGTGCAAATCCATTTCGGGCAAATCCGTAATCAAAATTATTTACTAAAAAATTCCTTTACTAAAAAATTTCCTTTGCTAATTTATATAATTTTTACATGTGCAAATCCATTTAGGGCCAATCCGTGGCTAAAATTATCTACTAAACATTTTTTTCTCTCTTAATTTTTATAATTTTTACATGTGTAAATCCATTTCGGGCAAATCCGTGGGTAAAATTATTTACTAAAAATTTCTTTATAAATTTTTCCACGTGCAAATCCATTTCGGACAAATCCGTGTTAAAATGATCTACTAAAATATTTTTTCTTTGACAATTTATATAATTTTTCCATGTGCAAATCCATTTCAGGCAAATCCGTGGCTAAAATTATTTGCAAAACAGACAATTTATGTTTCTCTTTTCTATTTTCTATTTTTTCTTAAATAAACATTTATTTATTTTTTAAAATTATTTATTTTCAACTTTTTTAAATTATCCAGTATTACCTTGCTCACATTCATTTCGGGCCCATCCTTGGTAACTAAAAAATCAATGCACAGCATAATAAATCACTTCTGTGTTTTTGTGGAAAATATTGACGTTTAAGAAACATATATATATATATACATATATATATATATACATATATATAAGCTAAAATATTGAGAAATATGGAAAATAATAAAAATAATGACCAGAGAAGAAAATTATTAAAAATATTTTTCAAAAGTATTTAAAAAAATATATAATTTTTGATATCTTAAAAAAAAAAAGTATTGAAAATCCGGAAAACAAAAAAAACGGATTATTTATTTCAAATCACGTTATATTCATAATATGTGTGACACCTTTTTTAGGAACCCCAAGATTCCACGGAACACTTTTTGGGAACTGCTGATTTATACCATAAAAATGACGTTACTTTTTTCGTAGTAATGTTTTCTTCCCAACAATATTTAATATTCAGTTCTATTCAAATATTAGAGAAAACGTGTCGTCTGTTTTACCCAAAACTTGCGTTAAGTCGCCAAATAAAGCAACCCATGCTCAGTATCCTGATCCTTGTTGTTTACCGGGTTTATCCTTCTCATTCTCATTCTAAACTGCACACACACGCTTTCGATCCGAATTTACAGTTGGAGAGGAAAGCCGGTAGCATCATCTTTACCATCTGAGCTAGTTTAGAAAAAGAAGTAGTTTTCAATCATTCTTTGATTCAAAATAAAAACATGGCTGATGTACCTTACGCTTTCCTAAGAAAATTAAAAATAAAAAATACTGTAGTGCGCGAATTTTTAGGAGAATTTTTAGGAACGTTTATTTTGATCGTAAGTAAACTTTTGTATTTTCTTCAACTGTTATGATTATTGTTTACTCGCTTTTTCCTTTATAAATCGGGTTGAATTTGTGTAATAAATCATTTATATTATTAGAGTGTTTTATGAATTCTTGAAATATTGTTTTTTTTATTTATTTTTTTTTTTTAACAAAGTATATTTAAAAATATTTTTATTATTTTACCTTACATAAACACACACGTTTTCACTTCTAAATAGGAAGGAATAAATATGTTATATTTGTAAATAATCGGAAATTTAAAAAGTTCAAGAATAAATAATATAAAAATAATAATATTGTTAGTCGAAATTTTCAACATTAAACTATTATACAACTTGTTGATGGATTACATCAGCTTTAAATCATGCGGAATTCTTGCATTTTAATTTTTTCATTAAAAAATAATAAGTCAGCATCTTGACTTATAAAACTAATAAATAAATTTGATTCTAAATTTATTTCGTAATTTTTTTTTTCGTTTTGAATTGAATTGTTGCGCTTCAATTGTTTGTTAATTTTTCCTTTAATTTATTTTGTGCTATTACTGCAATAAGTGACGCATATTAAAATATTTTATATTTATGAACTAAATATTTTTATTAAAAATTTTTCAACTAAATATTTTAATACTTCTAATTGAAAATTGATATGCTTTTTTATATTTGGACAATTGGATGATTCATCGTAGAAATTCTAAGATGTTTTGATTAAGTCATGAAGAGCAATTAAGCGTTTTAGTTGATAAATTCACATTTTCTCTGAGCTACAGCTTACAATTTCCGAAAAAGAAGTATTGGATAATTATCGTTGAAGTTTTACGAGAATTTTATTAGAACATGACGAATAATTGAATTTTTTCATTGACAAATCATATTTTCTCATTAACATTATTAAAGTATACTAATACTAATTATTACGATATACTAATTATTTTGGGTAAATTAGGTAATAATCGTGAAAATTCTACAATAATTTCCTCTTGCATGGGGAAAAAAAATATTGATTTGTGTTGGTAGAGTGTTGCATCACTTTTGCGGTTTCGGAATAAACGATCTTTTAAGTATATTTCGATTTGTACGATGTGAAAAATATAAACTAAATATCATAAAATGAAGTGTTGAAATTGAGATTTATTGACTGAATTTATTTTATTTCCACTCACACAACAACTACGAATGTTTTTTGATTTCATTTCAGAATTATTTACTGATTATTTTTAAAGTATCCCTGGTCATTTAAAGATTTATTTTTTAAATTTTTTTAAAATATTTTTTTCTTTAAAGGAAATGAAAAGTTGGAGCAGCGAATAACTTTTGATCTAATGCTCGTGTTTTCACTTATTCAGGGGCAAACGTCACGGATCATAGAAGCTGGGAAATGCAAAAATGATAAAATAATAACATTAAAATATTAACTATTTTTAGTATTCATATTTTTTTGAAACTTACAATAAAAAAGTTATTTAAAAATTGTATTGCAGTTTGAAAATATTCAAATTACCACTAAATAATTTTTTTCAAATAAAAATAAAATTTTTAGAATATTTTATAAAAATATTTTTTCGAAATTGATTTATATTATAGTTGTTCCGTTCAAATATTACGTAAGCATCTAAAGGCGGGAAAAGAATTTTTTTTTATTTACTTATTTTTGGTGAAAAGGGGAGGACAGTGCTTACTTAAGACCCTAAAATCCAATTTTCAGTTTTATTAATGCAAGAAAAATTGTTTAAAAAAACTACCTGGGGGGGGGGAGCCAAAATTCCTAAAATCATGCTTAAGTAATATTTGAAAAGCTCCCAGTAATTTGTTTTAACTAAAATTTTGGGCAAGTTTATTTATTTTTAAAAATGTTACACTCATACAACAGTGTTTGGTTTGTTTTCTTAAAATAAAAATGACGTTATTTTTTAAATTGGAAAGAAAAAATGTTATGTAATGATACGTTAATACAACATCGTAATAATATCGTGTGGCAGCGGAACTCGTGATCCGTTTAACATTAACGATATTTTACGTCAGCACTGTAGTTGGTGCTAGCCGGAAGCAGATTCGTATCAACTAGCCACAGCGGCTGCTATCAGTTGATTTGTGAAACCTAAATGAAGCATATTTAGAGAAAGAGCCTTTACATGTTAATTCATCAATTTTTACAACAGATAGCTCAAAAATATGAAAATATAAAAATTGATGCATTGCCAAATTCGTGAAAATGGTGCTTTTACTCACGTATTTTCGTTTGATTGTTCATCTTATTTAGAGGAATACGGGTTAAAGTAATTTTAGAGGTCTCATGTGATCTTTCCCCCCTCTTAAACACATTAAGTCTGTAACACTAAAGGAGTGTAGAGGGCAAAATTAAAGGTTACCACCGGCCATAGGGCGACTAAATATGACAAGTAGCGATTAAAAAATTGTCAGTCAGTCGCCTTCTGATCGCTATTTTTTTTAGACAAAAATGCACCATTTCTGCATTTCATTATTATTTTTAATAAATATTGAATGCAATATTTTATAATATTCTAAAAATTACTTTAGTTTTACGCTTGTTTCTTAAATAATTAAATAATGCATATTTCTAAGATAAAATCGCCCGTTATGCTAATATTAAAAGTTTGGGTCACTGTTAAGGTTTCGCAATTTATTCTTGACTTGTAATACTACTTTTATAAAAACTTTTCTTTTTAATTTTTAAAGAAATGCATTTAAATTAAAATTCTTTTCAAATTTCTAAAATTTTATAATTTTAATAGAATTTTTTTTTTCAAGATAACCAACACTTTTTTAAGAGAAGGCAAAATAAATTCAACTTTTTTAAGGAAAGGCAAACTAAATCCATCCTATTAATTTTATGATTTGCATTATGCTACTTTATAAAAATGACTAGAACTTTTTTTTTTGCGTTTTAACCATCATTAACGATATTATTTCAAGATTATAGATTCAGATTATTTCAGCCTTGTAAGGCACCTCGTAAGGTTTAAGATATTATTTTGAGAAATGCTTACAAAATTGCTTAACAATTTTTTTTTTTTTAGTCATTTCAATTTTTTAAAAAGTGACTACATTTGAAAATGTTACCAACCCAATGGCCAGTAGTAAAATTTCCTAATTTTGCAATATAATAAAGTAGCGCGTAAAACAAAAAATGGACCACCCTGAATAACTTTTGATCTACTGCTCGGATCTTCACATTCTAGGCCTCCATCTGAATGGTTTAAGGGGGGTGAGCTCAATATTGCTCATTAATTGATGATGCAAACGATATTCTAATTTACGAAATAAGGTACAAAAATGTACCTTCTCTGAATAAACACAACTGTTTTTTTTGTGTGGATGGATTTTTGACCCTCAAAATATAGGGGTTTGCTGCCATCTGGGAAATACGGTTCCTATAATTTGGTCAGAAGAGCGATCCAGAGTTTGGACTCCCTAATGTTTAATTTTGTATTTCGCGTATTTCGCCATACCTCGAAAACTTTTTAAGCGAAATCAAAAATCTTTGCACACAATTATAAAATTTGCTTAATCAAAGATAAATTCATGAAAAAAAAAAAACCTTTTGGTAAATATTTATTATTTTTCATTATTTTATTTAGCAATAGTCTAAAAAATTTTTTAATTATAAGGTATAAAATTTTTTACATCATTTGAAACTATCTAAATTTATACGAAATTTGAAAAATTCAAACTTTGAGCAAAAATGGTTCAATACTTCCTTAGAAATCGAGTTTTAAAAAATTCGTGTGTATAAAATTTGATTTCTAAGGAACTATTCGACCGATTTTGCTCAAATTTTGTATTTTGGCATGTAAAATTACATTCGTTAAAAGAATGCAAAAAAATTGTATACCTTACAATTCAAAATCTTTTCAACCATTCTTAAATAAAATAGTAAAAAATAATAAATATTTACTGAAATTTATTTTTTTGCACGGAATTATCTTTGGCTAAACGAATTTTACAGTTGAGAGCAAATTTTTTTTAATTTCGCTTAAAAAAAGATTCTTGAGATACCGTTGATGGTGAAATACGGAAAAAGTGAAATTAACATTAAGGGGTCCAAACTTTAGATCACCCTATTTCCCACATTGAGGCTACTCCCTTACATTTTGGAAGTTTAGAGATCTGAAAAAATGTATGTTTTATCAGAGAAAGTGCGTTTTTGTGTCTCATTCCGTAATTTAAAATATCGTCTGCACTTATTAATTAGCATAGTTGAGGTCACCCCTTTGAACCATTAAGATGGAGTCCTAGAACGGGAAGATCCGATCATTAGATCAAAAATTATTCAGGGTGTTTTTTCTTTCTTTCTTCACACTGTACATTATAACATTTGCCTCTCTTACTTTTCATATGCAACGAAGAAAATGGAATTGAGTTGTGTTGTTAGAAGCTACAGTAAGTGATAAAGGTTTAAAGTTCAGGGTGTATGGAAAAATATCTCTCCGAGCGAAAGTTAAACGCATTATTTTGTTGTTTAGCGGAACGGGTCAATGATCTTTAAAAACACCATGTTTAAGGTAACGTTGTATTTGGAAATGAACGCAACACCTGGCTAATATCCTTTATTCTAAATGCACTCTTGTGTAAAAACAAGCTGCGAAAAGCGGAAAAAGCAATTAGTGGATTATATAATTACAAGGTACATACAAAATAAAAAGAAAGGAAGCGAGAGCTTTCTCTTATATAACACTAAGAACAAAATATCAAACAGGACAAATTTCTATATCGTCCGTTTTTTAAAACAGATAAAATTTTAGAGAACGATTTCCTTCTTCAATCGCCATTTTGGAATTTGAGTTCAAACTTGCAAAACTTTTGATACCATTTGCCAACGTAATTTCTGAGCCAAAAATAAAATAAAGGATGTGAAATAGGAGTTTCGTATAAAACAGGAAGACATAGTTCGTTATTAATTTTAGAACTTAACGGTTTTTTTTCTTCTTTAAGTCTTAAAACAATAAAATTATGCAGCTCATGATTTTGTG